TTGGTCCCTCTTTTCTCAGACTGAGCTTGTACTGAAGCATTGCAAGCCTTTTTTCTGTCACCTAGGCCCAATTCCCTGGTGTCTCCATGAAAAGTGGGAGAGGGACCTTAACTGTGACTTGGGAAAGCATACGTTAAGGGGTTTCCCCCTTGGTAAACTGCATATAATGTGCCAGGCCATATGGATGTTGTAACATCTCGTCTTCTGCTGTTCGCTGGACTTACTGGTCCTCCTGGCTGCCCCTTCTGCTGGGGACGGTGACCTGGCAGGGCATGGCGGTGCCCCACATCTTTCTAGGTTTGCAGAGGAATCAAACAGGTAGCATAGCTCAGCACTCAAAAGTCCAATTTCTTGGGGGACGGGGATGGGGTAAGTACTTAAAACTGAGAGGTTTATCTCCCAGGCAGTTAACTCTTCTCTCCCCTTTTCAGGACAGCCTTGGAACTGGGCATAGTTTGGTTTGTTGTTTTTTTTTTTAAATCTGGACAACATTTTTTAAAGTTTTTTTTATTCTTTGTTGAGCTGTGTTGACATATACTGGCAGAGCTAGCATGGTAGTAAAGTAGCAAGAAAGGACAGGCTAACTTAGTATCTCTGCCCTTAACTGGGATGCTTGCTGGGTCTGGGGTTGGATCATTTGTTCACCGCACAAACCGTTTAATCGCCGCGTCTACTGCACAGTGTGACTTAATGACAAGTTGCTTGGAAATACATAAGGACATCAATATAACATTAAGGATGATCTGACAAGGGTTTTCTGTAGGTTCTGCAGCCCGTGAGAGAGAACGAGAAATCAGCAAGGGCTTAAATCTACCTCTGAGTAGGCTGCTACCCGCTCTTACACGGTGCAGGATGTGCCCTCCCTTGAGGAAACAGAACCCGCACGCTGGCAGCGTGGCGCTTGCGACGTTAGGATTCTGCCTGAGGATCCCGAATCAAATACAGGGGATACTGAAAAAGAAAGCAAGAATAATTGCGTGCTTCGAGCGACCCTCCCCGCCTCAGAGGCGCTGTCGGCCGTTGGGCGGCGTCGCGCGCCCTCCTCGGCCGTTGGTGCCGGAGGGAGCGGCGCCTCCTCCCCGCCGCCCTCGGCC